GCTTGTAAGTTTTTACTTGTGTATGTTTTAATGTGAAAATCACTTTAAAATAAAATGACAAGCAATTATAATAATAATTTCAAATATAAATAAAGCATTTTTATCACCAAAATAAAATCCAAATAAGATTTATGATACAATGACAGACTTACATTGAAAGAGGCAACCTTAACTAGGAAACAAGATTGGGGGAGGGCTTTTTTTTTACGCAACCACCCAGAACACCCTAGCAACCTCTTAGAGTGCCCTGAGAATCATATATCAACACCCTGACAATGCCCTTTGCATGATGTGTTTTGCAGGGACAAACACTATTCACATTTTCTTCCGAAAATGTAGTAATCTAGTTTGAATGGCTCATTTCTCAAATAGATTTGTTAGTTGTTTAAGTTTACAGGTACTGACCCCTGTGTATCAAGGCATGTTATGGTTACTGTTGTCACAACAGCTCTCAGTATGTTTAAAAGAGTGTGTTCTCATGCGCGCGCACGCGTGTGTGTGTGTGTGTGTCCTGGGCAGGTGTTTGTGGGTTGGTTTTTGTTTTTTTGAGGACAGCTGCAGGCCATATGCTCATAACAGAGCTGTTTCTACAGCTATAAATTGAGGATGGAACAGTTGAAGAATTTTAACCATGCTCTGTTTGTCTATAGCCAACTGGACTGTAACCCTCTGTCCATTGAACATAACTGGAGCAGGGCTCTGCTCATCTGTTTAGAGATGAGGATACCTCATTTTATTGATTATAATGTAGATTTTAATAGTGAAGTCTATAACGTTTGTGTCACTAGCGGCACCAAACCCACTTGTTTTGTTTGTCTCCACCACAGTAATACGACAATACAAGCAAAATGCATATATGAGTATATTTCTTAAACTAAAACACAGCCAGTTTTTAGGATTTAACCAAATTAGACAAATACTAGTTTGCCTTTGTCAGTTCTTCCCACTCTTTGCTTTCCCTGGCACCCTGAGCACTCACAGACCGCAGCTGAAGGTGTTTGTGTGCTATTGAATCAGCCCGTTAACAGTCTTACCGCCACACCTCACCATCCCAACCAGAGAAAAGAGTCTCCGAGGTCGTAGACTCTGCTCTGAAATGTGCACACCAGCTGACTATACCAGTAGCTGCCAAGCAAAACACAAGACCCTGGCTCAGGGGCCGGAGGAAAGGCAGCTTAGCCTCACTTGGAGAGGAGACAGTGCTTCCCACATAACCTGAGCCACCACTCGGCCCACGGCAGCAGAACTTTGTTATAACAACACGAAGCAGGCTGCACTGTCGTCCGAGCTGAAGTGTTATTCCAGCTACGTAAATAATAGAGCTCCCTTCTCCGTGTGATGAATAGCACATATTAACAGCCAAAAATTATTTTAAGTTCCCAAGATCCGTGTGCGGTAGTTTGCTAAAAGCCAATACGGATAGAAATTAGCAAACTCAATCTTTTACATTCACATCTTTATCCACTTCCTGATCATATCTGAAGACACAATACACAGCCGTGTCCTTCAGTGGTGAAAGAACATTTTCAAAAGTTATAGCACTGTTCTGTACTGTCTTGGCTGGGTTAAGGACCATATTGTGATACCACAATAATAAATGTGTCAATTCTGACATTTCAAAAACAAAGAAATTGTAAAAATACTGTTGTAAATGTGAGGCATAGTAATTGTAATGCTCTGCCTGAGAAGGTACCACAGCGGTTTAGTGAAGTAATAAAATACTTTTCCAAGTTTCAGGTTTTCCAGTTTGCTCAATAATATTTTTGTAACCTTCATCAGTGGAATCCAGAGACTCTAAAATCAAAAAGTCATATTCACTATAAAATGTCCATTCACATTGATGGAAAATCAACTCAGTACTCAACAGGTTTTTGTTCAGGACATATATTTTACATTGGACACCAAGTGTGGACTCAACATAGTACCAGAATTGTTTATTGTACAAATGTAAGCAAAAAAGTCCTTAAATCGTACTATTGTGGATGAAGGACTGTTTGAGGATGAAGGAATGTCACACATGCTGTCTATATTGGAACCTGCCTAGGTTTGGTACAAACCTATCATTTTGATTTAATATTAATCAAAAATCTTAACTTTTTCAAAACCCAAACACATTTATACAAAGTAAAGAGATCATTTATTTTATTTTAAAGGCCATGCACAAATATGTAGTTAGTTGCATTTTATTATTTGCATTTAGCACAGACCTGTGACCAAATCACGATCCAGTTTAAGTTGGTAGCATAGATGCCATCAGCTTACATCAGCTAGAAACCAACCACGTTCCAGAACAAATAACCAGCTTAAGATGTAGTTACCTGCAAGAAATCAAATTATAAGCAGTCAATACTAACCAATATGAACTGACTCAAACATTGTTCTGGATGCAGTGGAAGCAGGAAGCAACACAATCATTGAAAATGCAGCTGTTGTAACAGATCATGGCTCCATGAGATGCAGTTGGATGGGTGGGCATGTCAACACTACAAACTGATTTTTTATTTATTTTTTTTTTTTTTAAACAAAACTTTTTTGGAACAAAAATTCTGTTTTGTATGGAAGACCAGCTCATTTAAGTCCAGGCCGTGACCTGAGTAGGTTGAGTCAAGGCTGAGACATGAGGAAGGTCTGAATGAAGTATGAATAAGCTCTTCTTTTTTTTTTTTTGTGGTGGTGAATGAAGCTTGGTTTCATGTCAGTGTCACACGAACCTCCGCAGCACTCATACACATACTGTTCTTTGGTCCAGAGATCAGATGGGACAGAGCAAATCGGCACAGACCACAAAACGTATCCACAGTGTTGTAGTGTTGTAGTCTGGAGTCAAGAGTGAGTCCAAATGCTCTTGAGTCCATGGCAAGACCAAGACCATAAAAATGTCTTGGACTCAGACTAGAGGAAGAATCAAGACAGTGTCTGAACTTGAGTACTACAACATAGCAAAAACGTCAAGTAACATTATTTATTTATATAGCATTTATAACATGTATTTATACAATACAGACTGTGTCAAAGCAGCTTCACAATAATAAACAGGAAAATAACAGTCAGTGTAGCAGAATTCATCAGTTATAAATCAAGTTAAATATGAGCTGTAAAACAGCTTTTGTCATTATTCAGCACAATTCAGTTCAATGGTGATTCAATTCAGATCAATAACGTTATTGATTTGTGTTAATGTTACAAAGTTTGTGTCATTATCCAGTTTAATCCAGTTCAAATGTTGTTCTCATCCGACAGTTCTCATCAGTGCAGTTGAATCAATTGTATTACTATTAAATAACTATTAATTGTTTTAATCCCCAAATGACCAAGTCAAAGCTTTTGTGTACAAAAACAAAACAAAACAAAACTTAAATTCACCATCAATAAAGTAATGCCGCATTATTTCCACACAGTTTTTAGTAGTGCTTGCTAAGGCTCAGGCTTAGCAGCCACAAACTGCAGAAGTACACTATCAATCAACCACAACACACTAGCATCATGGTGGTGAGTTTGCATGGACAAGCATCACTCACAATATCTGAAAATGAACCTAAAGGATTATTCTTCTAAATTTAACCTGTTATGACCTGCATATGTATGGTATTACAAAAAAAGAAAAGCCAAATACTCCGTGGTATGTTCAAAATAATTACAAGCAACGTGAGGATTAGATTCCTAGACTAAAGCGGCATGTAAGAAGGACAAAATTCATTACAAAACAGTTTCTGTAAGTGGTGAATTTATGTGTGTATGTGTCTTCATTATACCTCTCCATGTCTGACACTAAGTGCAAAGCCACAGAGCATCTAACAGGAAAAGAGGAAGGGGTCAGGTGATGAGACTCAATCGGCTTCTGACCTGTCTGTCCATAAAGCAAAGGAAGAATTAATTAAGGTTGGGCAAATCTGATTCCAGACCAAATCCTGCCAGTGTGAATGAACATACACATCAGATACACTGTGAATTCTGGGTGGGGAAATGTTGTTTTAAGCTCCTGGAGCAGTGAGTGTTAGAAATGGTGCAAGTTTGAAAAAGTTTTGCACACACTCTCTGGCTAATAGACATGCTATTTTTAAACTGGAGCAAATGGTAATGATGTTGTGCTTTGGGAGAACCTTGTCACTGGGAGGATCGACATTTTGAAGCTGCTCAGTGGCCCAGAAGTAGTGATGTGTTGACAGTTTTAGAGAACATGGCTTGTATGGTACAGTAGGTGTTTGGTGAGAGAGACCTGGAAAAAAATTGACAACACCAAGTTTGATAAAGTCATGGAAGTCCAAACCCCCTAAAGCTATGGGGCTAGGAAAATAAATTGTGCATATTTTGTATCCATTTTGACTTCATTTGATTTTTTAGGATCTCATGAGGAAAGGAAAATCACAAATGAATGTCTTTAATATCTGAGATAAGGCTGATAGTTAAATGAAACATAACAGATAGCTCAATGAAGTCTGCGGACCAATGAAAGCAAAATCTCTGAGTACTACAATTCACTTATGATATAAATTCCATTAGGAATTCAATTGGCATTTTTTATAATATTTGTTAATTAGATGGTCTTTTTTTAGGCTGTAAATATTCTGATTACTAATTTGGAACCATAAAAATTCTTTCCCAATATTTTGCATAAAAGCAATGAATCAGTCAGTGAAGATGCATTTGAGCTGGTAAAAGCCGTTTTTCCTATCATGACAAGAAGTTTTCAAATTTAAATTAGATTTTGCCCAGATTTTCATTGTGGTCGTTGAAAGTTCAGAATAAGATACTGATTTATGTAAACCCTAGCTCTAAAAATAAAATGGTCTGAATTTTACAGATTCTGTGTTTTGATTTCTTTCTATCAATCTGTCTATGCATTTCCTCAGTAAGCATGAGACTTTGGTCACTATTCTAACCTCAGTTCAACAGTTTGGAACCCACTGGCTTGTGGTTTTGGGGATGAGTTCAGAGAAAGTACAGTGTACAACATTCAGCACAGTGTATAACAAGTTACTGTCTGAAAGTGACTTAACAGAATGCACCAGTTCAGCTTTCTCCAAATGTTTCCCAGATTCCTGGATGTAAGTCCTGTCCATCCATCCTTTGGGGAAATGCCTGGTGACATCCCACTGAGTGATGTGAAAACTGATCCACTATATGCCTATGATTACATGTCTCATACAGATGTAGCTTGTAGAGTGCAGACAGGCAGATTATGGAACACAGATGAGGACAGACAAATGTTATATCCATCCAGTTGACATGTTTCATGGTGTTCCAATGCAACTACTCTGTTTCAAGTTATTGTATGTATGTATGTATGTATTATTAGTATTATTTATGCTACTTGGTCAAGGATTATAGTGAAACATAATTTCTTGAAAAAAAAATATCTCCCTTGTCTAATTTTAAATTGTAATTTTATAACTAGCATTTTTACGTACACACACACACACAAATAATTTATTTGGGTTTTCGTCGTTTTAAAAAATTGCAAAAATAAAATAAAAATAAATAAATAAACAATAATAATAAAAGTGTAGGAACAAGGTAATGCAATAAGATACATCGTTTGAAAGAAAGAAAGAAAGAAAGAAAGAAAGAAAGAATACAGACTTGTCCAGTGGAAAGCGAGAAGGTGAGACGCACAAGCAGCGCTCTCGGGGATTGTGCGGAGTTGAGAGGTGTAAACACATATCGACAAGTTCCACATAGTACTTTTAACAAGAAAATTATTTTCCAAGGCCGTTGCTTATCAAACAGCGTCGTAACGCAAACAAACGTGAGTGCAATGACTTCAGAGGTTAATGAGGAAAATGAACCGGGTGGAAGGTGTTTACTGGGAAACTGGGTTGAGGAGGTGAGTTCCACACAGCATGTTTAAATAATCTTGCAGGCTGAGGCTTAGCAAAGTTTTGCTTGTGATCCTGGTACACCTGTAGTTATGAACGCTTATATCTTATCACAACTCACCTTAACAATGACATGTTACACTTTTCTTTCACGTGCTTCAGAGGGCTACTGCATTGCTAGACAGGACTGGGCCTAGATCACGTGTTCATAAATATGGACACACTGGGATTCTTACCATGGACGTGGCTGCTAAAGTACAGGGACTCAGTACATTTAAAGCTGCTTTTAATTCTCCTAAAAGCCTTGGGGTGCTACAAAAAGGTAGGTTACAATTATACAGTGCTTAATAATAAGGATATTATGAATTCATAAATAAACATTTAAGTAAGTATAAGTGTAAGTAAGTTGTTGTTTTTTAGCATGTGTTTGGCAGTGCTATTTTTTAGGATTACTGATAAACTACTGTCATTTGATTTGTATTATTTGTATTTGTTATTTATTTTAATTTTACTTACATTATGTCTGAATTTATTATGTCTGTATAGGTCTTTTATTAAGTTTTTAGTTTTATTTAATTTGAGTTATTTTAATACTTCAAAAAAACTAAATGGAAATGAAATAATATATATATTGAATTTATAAATGTGTATGTACATATACTGTATATATATGTATGTGTGTGTGGTTGTACATACACATATGTAGTTGTTTTTTTTGGTGTTTGGCTTAGTGTTATGTTAGAATCATTATTATACTCTTATACCTTTTGTTCTTTAATATTTTGAATTGTTTTTAGCTTTATTTTTTGGTTTTCATTTAAATGTTAAGTTTTGAAATTTTGTTGTATGCATTTGCCATTTTTATTTAATCTCTTTATTTTTAAAATGTGTATAGGTAGTATTTATAAAGTTTTAATACTACAATTGATTGCTTCTGATGTCCTCATTTGTAAGTCGCTTTGGATAAAAGCGTCTAATAAATGACTAGATAAATAAATAAACATTTGCTGAAATACAACACAGCATATCGTGTTTTCAGCTGTTTAACAGATGGTTTCATGACTGTCCATTGTGTCCAAAGGATTCTTGACAAAATAATTTATGTCAGATGAGAGAGTTTACCTCTGTGATGCACGTAAATTAGCAGAACATTGTTCAGTATGTCAGCAAAAAATAAATGTTTTAAAGACATAAAACAGGCTTATAATCCACAAATGTAACATATAGTAAAAATGCAGAACTGGTCTGAAAGGGATAGTGACAGTTCCCTTTCAGTGAGTCACGTCTGACGTTTACGTAGACACTGACGTTAGGTAGTCCCACTTGGGTGTCCCAATCACCTCTTAGTAGTAAAAAACAGGCCATTGAACATTGGCAAATAAAAGAGCAGTGTCATACTGAGACTGCATTTGTGGATGGTTTATGCTCTCTGCAAGTGGTCCAGGAGCACCATCTCTGGCTGAACTCTTGACGACCCCATCTCCTAAGCCGGCCTTTTCGGCGACACTGTCATAGCTCTCAGACAGACCGAAAACAGACGGAAGGCCATCAAACACATCCTGTTTTTGTGTGTGTTTGACCACTGCCTCCAGGCCGCCGAGGGCTGGTCCCCAGTCTGCTTGTCGCCAAAAGCGTCCCCCTTGCGGTTTCTGCATCTGCTCTGGCACGGCATCGGCTGCAACTTTGAGCCACCCACAGGAAGGTGATGCAGCCCGTGCCCCAGGCAGCCGCTAAGTCCTCCAAGCGGACAGGGAAGCAGTAAGCAACCCGGATATAGATGGGACTGCTCTTTTCAAGGGGGTGGTGAATACACTGCTCTTTTTTTTCAAGGAGGTGGTGAATATACTGGAAGCGATGTCTCCTCACTCCCAGCCTCTACCCCCGATATATACCTCCCTGTATATTAGTGTCTTTACCAAAGTTATGGAGGCCATCCTTGCCCCACCTAGGGAAGTGGGCATTCGAACTCTCAACGAATGGCTTTTTCTAGCTTACTGTCGAGATCTGTTGTACAAACACAGGGACCTTGTGCTCCAACACCTCAGCCAGTTGGGGCTTCAGGTCAACTGGAAAAGAGCAAGCTCACTCCTGTGCAGAGCATCTTTTTTCTCTGTATGGAGTTGGACTCAGTCGACATGATGGCATGTCTCACAAACGAGCATGCCCAGTTCAGGAGGAAAACAGTGGTTCCGCTGAAACAATTTCAGAGGCTCCTGGAGCATATGTCAACCACAGCCGTGGTAATGCCGCTCGGATTGATACATATGAGACTGCTTCAGCACTGGCTATTTCGCCGAGTCCCGAGATGGGCTCAACCGTTGCTTCAGGGCAAGGATGTGCTGGTCTGCTTGGACAACATTGCGACCGTTGCGTAAATCAACCATCAAGGAGGTCTATGCTCCTGTCGCATGTTACAACTCGCCTGCCATTTCCTCCTCTGGAGTCAGGCAAGGCTCAAGTCACTGCGCCAATCAGTGGTGCGGTAGACATGCTCTCACGCTCCCAGAAGGATGGAGACTCCCTTCCCAGGCGGTCCAGCTGATTTGGAGTCAATTCAGGGATGCTCAGGTGGACGTGTTTGCTTCCGTCAAATCCTCCCACTGCCTGCTCTTTTACTCCCTGACCGAGGGGACCCTCGGCATGGGCACGCTGACACACAGCTGGCCGTGGGGCCTACACGAGTGTGCGTTTTTCCTCATGTGAGCCTTTTTGCACAGACCCTGCGCAAGATCAGGGAGGACAAGGAGCAGATCTTGTTGATTGCTCCTCGCAACAGCCCCTCCCTGACGAATCCCACTGAGGGCTTGTGGCAGGAGGGACGTAACGTCTCCATTCCCTCCTTCAGGAAACTAGGGTTACATACGTAACAGAGACGTTCTGTCAGCTGACCCAGGGATTAAAAATTTATTTTGCATTATAAAATTTCCTTTTTGTTCTTCAGCTTATATAGTAGGTCCTTTCAAATAAAGCCCTCTGTTCTTTCTGCTGCATAAATCTTTTTAATAAACTTCACTGTTGTTTTCATTTTAGGAAGACGAGCTGAACTTTTGGAAAATGATCTCATCAAAATAATAAGGTAGCTAAATAAACAAGCATTTAATGTTTAACAACCTCATCGTGTGTAAAACACGAGTGACATTTTATGATCCTCCCACATTTCTTGTGGGACAAACACATGAATTCACACAAACACATGAATAGTGTTTTCTTTTCACAGGGTGTGACAACAGTTAAAACTAAGGATCATCCATTTAAAAGAAATGCCACTTTTAGTACACCAATCGGTGAACAACTAGATCAGCTCAATGACACAGTGCTGTGCCCATCAGAAAATACTTTGTGAGGAATTAAAGAATATCAACATTTGATAATTTCATTATTCCCTGTCTTCATTCATGTCTTCATTTTAGTTGAGTTTATTTTAGTCAATCACTGCATTTCATGATCCCTGGATGACCATTCTGAAAAAAACAATCCCTGAAATTGATCATTTCTGACTTGATTAATGATTAATAAACCTAATTTAAAATATATGTAAAGCCCTCTGTTCTTTCTGCTGCATAAATCTTTTTAATAAACTTCACTGTTGTTTTCATTTTAGGAAGACGAGCTGAACTTTTGGAAAATGATCTCATCAAAATAATAAGGTAGCTAAATAAACAAGCATTTAATGTTTAACAACCTCATCGTGTGTAAAACACGAGTGACATTTTATGATCCTCCCACATTTCTTGTTTCAGTAGAGGAAACAATGGGAGAGGAGTGATGTAAGAATATTTGTGTCATGGTTAGATTCATAGTTCAATTAAATCATTTACATTTTTATTTATCATGCAACGTTCTACATAATTTTTGAACATAACCTTGACAACAAGTCTCTGACCCCAGACAAGTGGTTGTATATTGTTTATAAATTAAAGAGAGAGAAAGAGAAAGAGAGGGAAAAAATATAATTCTGAAATGAGACAGTACCTCATACCCACAGGTCTGGTATAGGTGGGAATGGAAAGACAAATACTGTTTTACTTATTATTTATCAACAGAAATTTTTCATGCTTCATTTTCTAGAGAAACAGTCAATGGATCTAAAGGTGAATGAAGAACTGTTGTATTTTCTACTTTATTTATGCAATTCTTGTTTTTATATAATCGTAAGATATCAAGGCTGAGTTGGCTCTTTCTCTATGTCAGATTGCTGTCACTGGGAATAAATGTTAGACAGACGTGCATACGTATATTTAAATCTGTTTTCTTTCATCCATCTGTTTATTTAGAGAGACGCCTTCTGCTTCACTTAGTCATGAGTCATTACTTCATCATCTCCACACATCATAGTGACTGTGTATTATGCAATATTAAAAGCCATTTTCAAGCAGGTCAGCTTGAACAAGAAGTCAGAAATTTCTTCTAAACTTATTGGGCCTGAAGCAACGATGGCAGTATGCAGTTTGTGTTTTTCTAGGCTACATGTGTCAGCTGAATAACCGCCATTGAGATCAACAGATATCACTCTTTAGGTATATTAGAACTCTTTGATTAAATTACAAATACAAACCAACTACGTCGTTTTTTAACATAATGTAATTAGTGCTGGGCGGTTTGATCAAAAATCTGTATCAATTTTTTTTTTTTTTTTTTTGATTCAGACAGTTTCATGGTTTATCATATTATTTTCCCCTGACTGTGGGTTTATATGAATCAGAAATCATAAAACAGTTGCAGAACCACTGCACTGTAATCACAATCCTAACAAACTTGCTACATGTAGCATAAGTAGTTTTTAATGTAAATTAGATTGTATAATTTCAAAATTTGAAGCAAAAACAGAATGGCCTGACCTTAGCTTTGACAAATTATGCTACATAAAACATATCTGCATGAAACAAAAACTGCAAACGGGCTGAATTAAAATGCAAATTCACTCTCTGACAGCAGTCGGTGCTTATGGAACAGCAGAAATACAGCTTTTCCTTGGTTACCGCTCTAAACAAAGCAGTGCTGCACTTTTAAATACTACATATGCATTATAAGATGAAAATAAAATACCATCTAAACTTTTCTGAAGACAGTCAGTTCCCCTCAAAGATACATTAAACCCCCACCCCCAATTCAGTATTTAGGATTTTTTTTTTCAACATTTCGCACATGGTAAAGTGAGTTTGCTCTGCCTGCTCCAGTATTTTCTCCTCTGCGTACATCTTCAGCGTCCCTGGCTTCTGTTAACAGCTTTACAGTTGGTTTATTTGCCCGGTTAAAAAATTAGTTGTGTGTTATTAATAGTTCTAAAGGTTCTCTAACCATTAGTCAGAAGTGTATGCAGTTAACAGGGATCCTCTCTCAATTCACAACGCTGTCTATACCACTTAGCCACTTGTATGCCGTTTTTTAAAAATTCATACTGTTTGCGTAATTAATTCAAACCAGTATATCGCCCAGCACTAAATGCAATCTATTTCACAGTGATCAGATACATGCAGAGATGAACACAGAGCCTCCAGCCCCAGAGTTGTGCTCTGTGACCAAAGCAGACTACAAGGTGGAGGGCTTTAAGTCTGTCCGTGCACCAATGGCCATGGTCTGTTTCTGTTCACCATAACTTTTAAATATAAAATTTTTGCTTTGACTGTAGATGTGCATGTATTTGTGTGTATTTTTTGGCATTAATCCGCTCGTCTCTTCCAGGATCATGATTACACAACTGAGCAGGCCATCACATTTTGGAGTGATAACTATCAGAAAATTCAGGTCAGCATCTACTGTGAGGTTTCATTCAATATGTTTATTTCTTGCAGTACTGGAGTGGTTTTATGAATAGTGTTTTCTTTTCACAGGGTGTGACAACAGTTAAAACTAAGGATCATCCATTTAAAATAAATGCCACTTTTAGTACACCAATCGGTGAACAACTAGATCAGCTCAATGACACAGTGCTGTGCCCATCAGAAAATACTTTGTGAGGAATTAAAAAATATCAACATTTGATAATTTCATTATTCCCTGTCTTCATTCATGTCTTCATTTTAGCTGAGTTTATTTTAGTCTATCACTGTATTTCATGATCCCTGCATGACCATTCTGAAAAAAACAATCCCTGAAATTGATCATTTCTGACTTGATTAATGATTAATAAACCTAATTTAAAATGTATGTATGTATGTATGTATGTATATTCACAACACTTGTAAATTCCAATTGTTACAACATACTCTATAGTGTGACAACATGCCCTGCTAAGTGTATGTGTATATATTTTTCATGGTAAAGTTGTGTAATGTTTTCCATGCCAAGTATGACTTCCTGATTTAGCAAATGTTTTAATGAAGAGCAAGTGACTAGTTAATACTACTCTAATAAAATAAATTTACTTGTTTTTGTGGCCAAATGAGAAAATGGTTATATGGGTGCAGGTGGCAGCCTTTTTCACCCTGAGAGAGGAGAGAGCTCTAACTATTTGTTGAAAATCAACTGATGCGCTGTTTCTTTGGATCAGGATGGCTTACTTTCACATAGCTGTGCTGTCAGTCAGAGCTGTTCTGTTGCTGGATTCCTCTTTCATGCTTTCAGCAGGGATTAACATTGGGTAACTATGGCAACAAGTAATTTTAGACTTCATTAATTCAGTGTTTCCCTTTGTTTTTACAACATTTGTTTTCTCGGAGGAACTCCACAGAAAGCCTGTGAACTGGCTTGATTCCTAAACAATTTAATCTTGTTGCTTCAAGGAAAAATACATTTAAATAATTTTCTCTTTCTCTGTATGTGTGTGTGTGCGTGTGTGTGTGTGCATGTGCGTGTGCGTGTGCGTTTGTGTGTGTGTGTGTGTGTCTAGCCAAAATTCAGCTCCTGAACAGTATCAATGTTTTTATACTGTCTTCCTAATTAATTACACAGACTTCACAAAGTCATAATTTGAAACCAACAGAAGGTGATTTTGACTTCTATTTATTAATAATTGCTTTTTTGTAATGAAACATAATTATAAACTGAAAGCTGTGACTATATTTCATAAAGCCCTGGTAAAGCATGTTTGTTACTGAGTATATATCGGTGCACAAAGCTTTGCAGAATGACCACTTGGCAACAGCACTGACTGTGACAGAGCTGCTGGTGGGCGGTAATTAAGAATCATGGGGACGAGAAGCAGCTGTGAACATGAGTTCACACACACACACACACACAGATGCAGTGCACTAAAGGCACAGATGCCAAATGGATTCTTAATGATCAGACTACGACATCATCCCTATTTACCACGAAACTGTTGAGTGAGCAGTAATGATCAGAGCTGTATGTTCTTTAACGAGCAGACAGTGTATGGTTTCAAAGAGAGAGTAACACTAAATGCTTTATGACATAGACATACTGAAAATGTTGTTCTATTATTATCTTTTTTAAACTGATGGTTACAGTCCTACATTGGTAGGAACCAAACCATCAGTTGGTAGCTCTTACTATAAAAATATTCTATGTATATTTCTTACAGAAATTAGATTAAGCTAAATAATCTCTCTCTCGTTCTCTCTCTCTCTATACACACACACATATACAGGGGGGCCAATCCTGCTCCTGGAGGGCCACTGTCCTGCAGATAGTGACCTCTCTCTCTATATATACACACACACACACACACACATATACAGGGGGGCCAATCCTGCTCCTGGAGGGCCACTGTCCTGCAGATAGTGACCTCTCTCTCTATATATACACACACACACACACACACATATACAGGGGGGCCAATCCTGCTCCTGGAGGGCCACTGTCCTGCAGATAGTGACCATATCAGCCATATCAGAGAAACAGCCATAGTGGATGTGAGATCAATGAATACACAGCAACACACATTCTCACACCCTCCAAACACACCGATGCCTTGATGCTGTAATGCACACAATCATATATTCATCAAAACAACCAGACACATAAAGACATTCACATACACACAAGACATTTACACATATACTCAGATTCACCCACTGCAACCAACAAAAAGGATCAAACAAGTTTTTTTTTAGAATTCATATCATCTTACATTGTTTATACATTCGTATTACATTGTCCATTCTTACAGTATAGCTCTTTTCAAAATCTTCAACGTAGTTCAACTCTATACACAAACTATACTTCATAAGTATGGTTAAAATATGGGGATTTTTATGTTGCTTCAGTCCTGGAGTCCATTGTAGTGGACATGAAAAAAAATCTAATAATAAAAAGAGTTGACACAAATCTTGTTTTTTTGACTCATTTCTATATTGGAGAAGAGCAAATATAAAGTTGATAAAAACAATTTAAAATAAATAGTACTGTGAAAAAAAATCAGGTCTGAAAGGGTTAAATTGTTTTGAGTACTTTTCAATAGGTTTTATTTGTAGGTTGTGATCAATAAGGAGTATTTAGTTGAGTATTTAGCTTAAGTGCTGCAGTTAATGCAGCTCTGAGAAAGAGTGAGATATTCAAGTGTGCAATTTTCTCTTTGTCTCTTGTGCCAATAAGCTGCAAAGCCCTTTGGGAAGGTACAGTGGGTACGGAAAGTATTCAGACCCCCTTAAATTTTTCACTCTGGGAAAGAGCCCTTCTGGAAGGATTCATTAATATTCACAATTCCTTACTGTTGAGACTATATTTACAAGAGTTTTGCTAATAATGACAACACAAGAACCTGCTTTTAATTCAGTTTATTGAACAAAATATCTTACAATGTCTTGGATATACATATATACAAATATTACATTATGATAAAACTTCACTCTGTCCTCAGTCTTGACAACCACCATTCAATGCACTTGAATGTGTTAAGAAAATGTCAAATACACATCACCAGTTTCCAAACATCTAAATATAGAAAGCACAAAAAATAAGACTTTCACCCAGAAAGACATACTTAACTGTCAGCACAAGAAATCTTAACTGTAAAAAAAAACACAACTACATAATTTTTGCAGTTTTAAAGCAGGTATGAAATATACCTGAATTAACCTCCCTCAAAAGGTATTATAATGTGTTGTTCCATGCAAGAGCGAGAAACCCTTTCAGACACAGAACAAATATATGAAACAGTGGCTCTGATCCTGGTGACTTCCTGTCATCAGCAGTGCTCTCAGTTAACATAGACCTCTGTCTTCTCTCCCAGAAGCCAATACGTTCTCATTTTGCCTTTACCCTAAAAGAGTGGAACAACACCAATCAATAGCATGCATCAATGAGCACTCAAACAGCTCGCTGGAGGAACTAATCAACAAAGCAATATGCTCTTTCTTAATTAAAAAAGACTAAAGAATTCTGCAAAGACAGGTGGTGGAAATTGGACCTCTATGGTGATCCAGACATTTTAAGTCTCAGATTGGTATGAAAGGCCAACATCAACACAATAAATCATGTTCAGATTTCACAGGACTTATGTAGCATTGCATGAAGCAGATATCTGAAAATCTGAAAGTGATGGGAAAAGATTATCTATCGTTTTGGTGGAAAAAATATTGCCTAATACCTAAAGGATTTTGTACAGAATTTCTATTGAAAGCATAGTATGGAGCAAATCGTTAAGGATTCAAATAGAATTGATTAAAAATCTTCTAAGGAATTGAAACTAAAATACTGCAGTGATTGGATAGTGTTTAATAGTAATCATAATTCTATTTGAGTTTTAAAATCATTAAAGATTGTGCTATAAAATGCTCAAAATCTAGTGTGTGTGTGTGTGTTATGTTGGAAAACAAAAATTACCATTCTGATTATTTAGGAATTCGGTAAAGAAGATTAGAAGAAAGAATTCCTTTAAAGAAAATTAGACAACACATTATAATAAGCATTCACTAATAAAGTACTTACAATTAATTTGCAAACTATTAGTTTATAGTTAATTCATAGTTTATAGATGCTATACAAACAGTGAGTTCTTCATTCATCATGTTGTTTAATTAGCTCATGTGTAAAGAGTTAAGATAATGCTTTGTTAACAACTTATTAACCATAGATAGTTCTCACTTTAGATTAGGTCACGGAATATGGGAAAATTAATTAAGTGCTTTAAACCAACCTTTGCTTTTACATACAGTATAACTGTATAACTGTATATTCTGTCCTGTAACCCTAAACCTACCCATCACGGAAAACTAGAGAGAGAGAGAGAGAGAGAGAGTTTTCTGTAAGGGCTAGGTTTAGGGGATAGAATACACAGTTTGTACAGTATAAAAACCATTACACCTATGAAGAGTCCCTGTAAACCTCATATGCCAATAAAAATATTGTAATCATTTTAAGGGATGGTGAATATGAATGCAATTAATAAAGGTTGGTTTAAAGCACTTAATTAATGACATTTTCCCATTTTCCGTGACCTAATTTAAAGTGAGAACTACTTATTCCTTATTACCAATCACAAACAAATATATATTTAAAATAATTTATGAAAAATATTTCTCTCACATTTATACATGGTTTATCATTTCAGAAAGCAAGCGCAAGTGAAACTTCATACCTTCATCTCCACGTCTCCTCGCAGCTGGAGTTCGAAATAGCCAAACTCATCCAGCACCTCTTTGGTGGCTGAAGACATATGTATCCTCAGAGCTGTGGAGGAAATGATAATCATTAATAATCAATAGTCAACCTTAAGATGAAAACTCATCATTTACTCGACCTCAAGGTTTTTTTCTTCTTCTGTTTTTCTTCTGTTAATCAATATTTTAAAAAATATCATTCACATTTGCACATATTTAAACTAAAAGTATTTTAGTGCCATAGATGTCAAACCTAGCATAACATATCTTCAACGTGCCAAGTTTGAATATGTGCAAGCATAATGAGATTTGAGGAGATATGTGGGAAGATTTTCAATTAATAATATCTTCAATTTCACCACACAAACTATTGTATGATTTCAGAAGACTGTATGGATTACAGTATGATACCCTTATGTCTTGGTCACTGTATGCTGTCGCTGTACAGGAAAATCTCCCTATTCACTAGTACAAAGTTGTATGGGTTTGAAATGAAATGAGGGTGAGCAAAATAATTTAATTTCTGAGTGAACTATCCCTTTAAGAGTCACAGCCAATCAGTATAAGTGCACAGCTGTGAGTGAGATGACACCTTCATAAAATATGATTCACCACATATAAGAACAACAACAGACACACTACACATATGGGTCAATGAGCAATCTGTCCTGGCTATAGGAGGAACAACATACTGCACTTAAAGGTGCAATAGGTGATTGTCTTCAGAAATTTTTTTTGTTATGCTGGTTGAAAGTCTCTTCACATACCGATAGCAATCATTAATTGAAGTGGTCTAAATGTATTTATCTGTATTTATACATTCATTCACGGATTTGCGCTGCGCAGCGTCTTCACACACATCACACTCACACACACACACGTCTTCACATCCAGTGCGAGGACTGGAATTGGGAACCGTTGATGTAGCCTATTGTAGTAATGTTGTCTCTGGTATTCTGGTACTTCTGTGAGCGTATATGCGTTCAAGGGCGTGGCTTTGGACGGCGATTGCAGGGAGGGTGGAACGTTGGCTTTCAGTGCTATCAGGCTAAAGTTAGCATTTTCCAAGATCCCCTACTGCACCTTTAATCTGAGAGGCTCCATGTGGTGCGGGCTCCTAAGTGTGCATTAAGCTGTAACAAACTGCAAACATATTATTACATGCTATAAATCTAACCGGATATTGGATACTGGGTCCTTGTCACTAGTTATTAATTATTAATGAAGCCCACCTCAGGAAGTGGACTGTGAGTCGATACTTGTGGTAAGTCTCATGAACAACAGCTGTTACTTGTGAACTGGTGAAATGCATGTTAAAAGTATACAATGCTACTGAGCAGCTTTGTTTCAAACCCTAGTGAGCTGCCTCGCTGTCTGCTGTCCACATAAGCAGCTACCTTCTGAGGTACATATTTTAAAATGTAATTATTCATGTGATGGCAAAGCTGAATTTTGAGCATTACTCCAGTCTTCAGTGTCACATAATCCTTTAGAATATGTTGATTTGGTGCTCAAGAAACTTTTCTTATTATAATCAATGTTGAAATCAGGTGTGCTGCAGGTGTGTTGCCAGGTGTGATTATTTTTTTCAGGATTCTTTGATGAATAGAAGGTTCAACAGCATTTATTTTAATTTTTTGTAACATAATAAATGTCTTTACTGTCACTTTTGATCAATTTAATGCATCCTCGCTGAACAAAAGTATTTTAAGTTAAAAAAAAATTTAACCAATAGTATCAAAATCACAAAACCAAGATGTACTTAACTTAGTATCATGCTGCATTGTCATGGTGTGGAAAAAATTCTGCATTCTGAGCAAAGATCAAAAACATATTTCTGTCACCAACCTTCCCCTGTAGACTCCATGCGGGATGCCGTGTTGACAGTATCTCCGAATAAACAGTACCGGGGCATCTTAAGACCCACTACACCAGCACAGACAGGGCCTGCTCAACACACACACACACACACACACACGCAGCAGAGAGGGAGATTAAGTCACTATTGGAATCCTGTAACTGCTTATACACAGTCCTAATACCTCCTGACAGGTTGAAAAAAACCAACTGAACAAAAGCAACAGGCTGCAATCAGATCACATGTACTGAATATGACATTCTCCATTTCTGTCACCAATGGGAGTTTTGGTTCCTTGCCACTGTTGCCTTTGGCTTGCTTAGTTGGGGATGCTTGACTGATTGCACTGACACTATTGGAAGAGAGCTGAACTGGATGATGACATCACTGAATCATCAATGAATGGACTTTAGCTGCAAAAATGACACTTTGTTATTGTCTAATTGAATTATTGACAAACTATTTTCCTGTTTGACACTCTAAAGCTGCTTTGACACAATCAGTATTGTATAAAGCGCTATAGAAATAAAGGTGACTTGACTTGATAAGCACCTTACATCTCAGCTGCACTTCTACTATATATAAGAGACGCAAACAGACACTCCAATGGAAACAGAAACAGAAAATATTAATGTTGTAAATAGAGAAAACGTGTGATTTAGGCCTAATAATAAGCTTTAAGATTTTTTTCTCATATTTAAGAGGGGGAAAAAAACCCTGATAATCTCACGTGAGTGTTAGAGGTTCTTAAACCGTGTTTAGATTTGCCAAGATAATAATGTCTACAATTAAATTCAATATGAATGCCAGCAATTCTCATAAAAAAGACCAAATATCAGAGCTATCAGCTTCATTTTAGGGATTTATACCCTTGATAAATGTCAACAACTGTCAAAATTTTTAGGCTTTTCAATTTTAAGGTTTCATGTTTTATATATTTTATATTTGATTTTATATTTTTAGGAGAAAAATCAGAGACAGAGTTGACAGCAACCTCTGAACATTTGCCTTTATTATCCACAATCATTGCTTGGCCTTAACTTGCCATGGTTTTCTCAACACTAATAAATACTTCAAAGGCCTAAAATGCCTAAAATGAATGAATATTAATAATGGAATCTGTGAAACAGTAACGATACCTGTGTGGATTCCTATTCGCAATCGTAGCTGATCGTTGGGTCTGTGTCTGATTTTGAAGGTTTTAACCTGTTCCAGTAAAGCCAGTGACATGCTGGCTATCTCACGTGCGTGTAGCTTCCCATTCCTCACAGGCAGACCTGAGACCACCATGTATGCATCACCGATTGTCTCCACCTGCCATCAGCAAAAAGTAAAGAAGATTTTTCACAATTTTAATCCTTCAAATAATCTGATTAAAGTTTAAATAATTTCAGATTTCAAAATCACATTCTATGAAATCTATAGATACTGTATAATAACTAATTGTAATACAATTACTTATGAAAAGATACAAAGATTGCACTGCCTATTAAAAGACACTTACCTTATATACATCAAAATTATCAATGATGGCATCAAAGCATGTGTAGAGATCATTCAGCAGTGTCACCACCTGAACAGAGTAACAGGACACTGTTAAGTTAAGGAAGGTGATCTTAAAGTTCATTTTGTAGCTTACACTGTCCAGGATTTATGATTATAACGCCATCTTTTTCACATTTTTGTATTTGAGGTTTGCTGTCACTTTTGCAGCAGAAGTTCTGTGTTGTTTGGACACAATCATTCTTATTGTTCGTTAGTCCCTATCAATTATTTTCTGTTTTCGCCCACTGTTCTTCTTTGCAGATGAAGTCTTGCCATGCTTTGTTCACATAGTCAAAATTGTAAAGATTGTTCTTAAAAACAAACAAACAATTGGCCTGTTATGGTTACAGATACTCTTTCTAAATAGGCTCCCTTGATTTGCCCTTTTTGGATGCTTGGCAAGGCATCCATTTCACAGAGCACTTGTGCGCATTTTTTGTGACATATGAGGACACAAATTTGTATAATGACATGGGTATGACATAGGTATTACAAGGAGAAGGTGACTTATGAAGACATTACCTCATGTCCCCATTTTTCAAAATGCTTATAAATCATACAGAGTGAGTTTTTTTTTGAGAAAGTAAAAGTGCACAAAGTTTCCTGTAAGGGGTAGGGTTAGGTGTAGGGTTGGTGTAGGGCAATAGCACATACAGTTTGTACAGTATAAAAACCATTACGCCTATGGAATGTCCCCACAATTCACAAAAACAAACGTGTGTGTGGGTGTGTGTGTATTATTTTTTAAACCAATAAATCATAGAAAATAAAGCTCAGAAAAGTTGCATGCTCCTTTAAATTCAGAGTAATTTCTTCCCTCAGGCAATCCATCTCATGAACACTTGACAATAACGAAATACACTTGACAAATTTGCTCTGTTGCTCTGTTCAGTTCATTCTCTCCGAAATTCATTAGTTTGACTATATTCAGACGAGACTTCCTCTGATTCTAGAGATTTTTTTTTCTTTGCAGCTTTTTAGGTGTGATGAGAACCTTGACAGAAATAGTTCTACATCTGTGCCCCAGAAGAAAAAAAAATCAGTTGAAACAGAATGTATAATAAAAGTCTATTGTGTCTGCAGCTCTGTCATGTCTCATAGAGGTTAAGCGAGATATGACTGCTGTGATGTGTTTCTGCTTGAACTCCCAATGGTTCCATCAAATTAAAACCTTCATGCATCCCATCCCTGGATGTATGCCCAGAAAGAGGCCTTACAGAGAAACGTATTTGCATACATACAGCAGAAAATATGACAAAATTAACCATGGAGGCCAACTTCCTGATTCCTTATAGTTGTCATGCTATAAGCTTAACCACTGAAACATTTTTATATGTATATATTTGAACAGCTGTTGAAATGCATTGTGATCCAAACACCATGATGTGGCTCAGTTTAGTTGTCTGCATTTGGTCTAATTTCTGAGTAACTTTCCAAACTCAGTTGGTCTATGAGTTCAGATGAGAAGTATAAAAAAAATCTGCAACAATGGCCTCAGATGTCTCATAATTTAAAGAAGCACACAACTTTTTCAACTGTAAAGTTTTAGGCCTGAATCTAACCTCTCACACTGATTCCAGAAACCATGTTTTAGGCAAAATAGTATCAAAGTATATTTCAAGATTTATTACATGGGAGATGAAGGGTGACTGTCTTTACATTTGCAAATTCAATTAAAAACTCTTCTTTACACAACATTATGGATGTCTGGCACAGAATTTATTATTACATGAGCATCAAGTGAGAACTGTATGACCATCTTGGGGCAAAACTTCAGAAAGTGATCATCATGTCAAAATACATGGTGTAGCGTCTGCTTAAAATCATGGATGATCATTGGGGTTTTATGTCTTTAGAGACCCCTCTTAGCCTTTTGACATTCGCATTTAAATTACAGTCCTGGCCCCAGATTCTACATTTATATGGGTGCTAAATTGCCAATGGTTCCCCCCACTATCACGGATATGCTAAACAGTTTCACCACTCTCGTCTCCCCATTGAACTTCAAACACATTACAAAGAGACGTAAATGACCCCCGGGGCCAGGCACCAATGGGCCTGGCTGACCAGCAAACTACAACATGCTCACATAACACACACAAAAGTCATTAGCTCAGACTAATCTTGGCTCAAAACCTCTTCTTCTTGAGACGGACACTATCCAAGACTACTCAAAACTCTACTCTTGAGTTTGATTTTCCGGCAGTTTTTATCTTCGAGTAACTTTGTCCATCCGCTGTGGACTTTCCTATCTTCAGAGGAACCAGAGCAAAACCTCCAGCTCACTTCTAAAAGAACTCAAGAACCTCCGTTGTCTACCGCATCAGGACTCTTGTTCAGCAATCGAAGCCAATGCAATTAACCGTTTACAACTATTTAGATGCGTGTTTAAGTTTGAGCCCCTTTTAAGGTGATTTTTGATTCTTTGATGATTCTCATTAGGTTGTGGTTAATTGATGTGAAATACTGCCATTCTTTTGCTCTTCTCTCTCTCTTCCTTACTTTTCTTCATTCTGTATATATGTGTTTTGCTTAGTCTTGTTGTATGTTAGCTGTAGTTTCATTTATTAAATCCCTTATATTCACAATTGATTGTCTCTGTGTGCTGCTCACAATTCGGAGATCACTGAAGGTTGATCCCTTGCTACATGCTAAGTTAATGCTAGTACTGTATGAAGGAAAGTTATTCTTTCTTGGCCAGGAAAATAATCTTTCCTTGAATTGATAAATGATTATATTGTCTGCTCGGTGGACGAACAGATCAAATAATTGTAATCTTGATTCTGCTACAGTTAATTCTAAGATCTAATCTAAATATTTATTATTAATTATAACCAGTTATAATTAATTATAAATATTTCCCTTTTGAGCTAATTTGCTACAATGGGAATGAGAGGAAAGGAATGCCTTTTCTGTGGCTCAGACCAAAAAAGAAAGCTGCAATCTATATATCTGACTGTCAGTGTTGTGGACTTGTGTTTCCTTGTTTTACCCCTGTCTTAGTTCCTGTTTTCCTTTTTTGGTCATGTTTCCTGTTTCTGTTCTCATTGTATTAATTTGTATCCAGCTGTGTCTGATTAATTATCTAATTTGCCCTTAGCATTTAAACCCTGTGTTTCCCTGAGTCTGTGTCAGCTGTTATATATGTAATTCCTGAGTTCCTGTGTTGGTAAACCTTTGTTTGTTGGAATAAAATCTAAATCGAAGAATTCTCCTGCATCTCCTCGTTCCTTCCCCAGTGAATCGTGACAGAACAGCCAACCGTGACAGTAAGCGGCTTCAACCCGTGTTTATTTTTCGTTTTTTGAAAAGTGTTTTTTTTTCTTTCGTTTGTTTCTCCCTGCCCAAATGGAGGAACGGGCGATGTTCATCGCCGTGGCTCAGGCAAGCCACGACCCTATCATCTACAGCTCCCTCGATGGGGAAACCCTCTTGACTCTGTTCCGGCTCGGCATAACCTACCATCTGTCTATGGAGCTCCCAGACACCACCAACCTCGACTGGAAGGAGGCGGTCATCCGCTGTCTGGAGAGCCTCCGAACCCGATCCGGAACCCCTCCGCCGGCCATTTCACAGTCAAGCCTACCGGTCGCGGCTCTCTCCAGCCCCCGGCCGCGCCGATGTCAAGCCCGCCGGCTGCGGCTCACACAAGCCCGCTGGCCGTTCAACACCCAAGCCCGCCGGCTGCGGCTCCCACAAGCCCGCCGGCCGTTCAGCACTCAATCCTGCCAGCCGCTCTGATGTCAAGCCTGCCGGCTGCGGCTCCCACAAGCCCGCCGGCCGTTCAGCACCCAAGCCCGCCGGCCGCCCAATTCACCCGTAACCAAGGGAGGAGGATGAGGAGGAAAATACGGTTCACAGCCCTCATCCCAGCCCCAGAGCTCGCTCCAGTGAGGGCTCCTGTCCCCGAGTTTAGCCCAGAGAGCGTTCCAGTCCCTGAGTTTAGCCCAGTGAGGGCTCCTGTCCCTGAGTTTAGCCCAGAAAAGGCTCCAGTCCCCGAGTTTAGCCCAGACAAGGCTCCAATCCCCGAGGGTAGCACAGAAGGGGCTCTAGTTCCCATGTCCAGCCCAAGGAGAGCTCCAGTCCCCAAGTCAAGTCCAGGGAGGGCCACTGTTCCCGAGTTAGGCCTACGGAGGGCCTCGAAAGACAATATTCTCCCTAAGGATTTTTTTTGGGGGGGGTGTAGTATGGGCCCATCCGTAGTGGCCGGGCTGAGTGACGAGGCCAAGGCCACGGAGGCCGTCCGGCCATGGCGTCCTGAGTTCCCTGTTCCGCCATGGTTCCCCGAACTACCTGCTCCTCCATGGCGCCCTGAACTGCCCGCTCCGCCATGGCTCCCTGGACTGCCTGTCCCGCCATGGCACCCTGAACTGCCTGCTCCGCCATGGCTTCTTAGTCTGCTTGTTCCGCCATGGCTTCCTGGTCTTCCTGGTCTGCCTGGTCCCACATTGGCGCCCCGAACTACCTGCTCCGCCGTGGCGCTCCTGGGACTGCCTGTCCCACCATGGCCCCCTGAGCTCCCTGATCCGCCCTGGAGGCCTCCCGTGGTCCCTGTCTTGCACCAGCCTCCAGGGCGCCCACATGTCTTCCTGTTTCTGTCCTCATTGTATTAATTTGTATCCAGCTGTGTCTGATTAATTATCTCATTTGCCCCTAGCATTTAAACCCTGTGTTTCCCTGAGTCTGTGTCAGCTGTTATATGTGTCATTCCTGAGAATAAAATCTAAATCGAAGAATTCTCCTCTTCTCGTTCCTTCCCCAGTGAATCATGACACTGACATTGTGAAGTTTAGATATGTTGCTTGCCATAGAAATGATGTGCAGTGCTTGCATAATCATAAAATAGTGTAGGATAGTTACTTACTAAATATAGTTGTTCACTTCAACCACAGATAAACAGAGCAGACAAAATATGAAATATGTGCATTAATCATTCATTTCATTGTTTTTGCTGAGTAAACATTCAGTGAAATATGCCAGATCATGGTAGTCTATCTTCCACAATCTAACATTCTATATATACTATATATATATATATATATATATATAT